CTGCACTGGGAGCGTGGAGTCTTAGCTACTGGACCACCAGGGAAGTCCCTCTGTTGGCATTATTGATATTGGCATTATCCACATAGTGGGAAGGATGGCTACTAGCAACCTCAAGTTTAAATTCTTATGAATATTGTTATGGTTTTGATTCATAGGAAAGAAAATTTCTCCCTCATCAAATGTTCATATAGAAATCACAGGAACAATTCTGTTTGGCCCTGCCTGAAACATGTGCCCAATACTGAACCAATTCCTGTGACCATGGGTTATATGATCATGGCAGGTAAAGCCTGGCCATTGATAGCATTAAGTGGACTAAATTAATGGGTGTGTGTGTTTGTGTGTGTTGGCCGGGAGAGGGGCAGGGGAGCGGTTCTCCCAAGGAGAAGCAAAGACACAAGCAGCAAATGTCCACTTGCAGACAGAACACCATCATGTGTTATTCATGCCCTTTGTGCGTAAAGGGCTAACAAAACGCCTTTCCTTTCTGCGTGAGAATTTAAACCTTAGTTAACTTTCTGGCTCTGTGTCACTACAAACAAGACAAAAGCACAATATTAACTATTACTAAGCAGCATTGCTTATGATAAAAGTGACTCCTGATTGGTAAGCCGCATCTGGACTTGGAGGAACTGCAGATGCATTGTGAATGCCAGAGGAGAAGCCATACTTTGGGCATCTCTGAGTGCAGTGACTTCCTTTCTTCTGTTCCAGGGCATTAGCCACCGTTTCTTATCACCTGCCTCCCCAACCACAGGCACAAACTGAAGCTGAGTTACATACCCCCACATATCACCATTTGGTTATTGCATTTCATTACAATCATTTGCATATGTGCTCATCTTCCTTAATGGACTCTGAGCTTCCTGAGGATAGGGTGTTATATTTTTTATCTTGGCCACTTTTGCTTAGCACAATATCTGACATATATGTGTGTGTGTGTGTATGTGTGTGTGTATGTGTGTGTATGTGTGTGTGTATGTGTGTGATGTGTGTGTGTGTATGTGTGTGTGTATGTGTGTGATGTGTGTGTGTCTATATATAAATGCTTAATAATTGTTAATAGTTGTTGAATAAATGAGTGACTGATTTGTAAGAATGTGTGACTAAATGTTTTCATCTAGCATATAATCAGCATTTCTCATCTTTCTTTTTGTGACTGGTTTATATGGACCCTTGTTGGCACTGTTTGCAGATATTTGTATAAGCTGGACACGATCATTCTGTCATTTCCCAAAAGCTGTTGATGGCTCCTGGGGCTTCCCAGGTGGCACAGTGGTAAAGAATCCACCTGCCAAGTACGAGATGAAGGAGATGATCCCTGGGTGGGGAAGATGCCCTGAAGAAGGAAATTGCAAACTTTTCCAATATTTGCCTGGGAAATCCCATGGATAGAGGAGCCTAGTGGGCTACAGTCCATGGGCTCAAACAGAGATGGCCATGACTTAGTGACTAAACAGCAGTTTGAGGCTCAAGACTAGACCTTTATCTCCAATTAGGGATCTAATTTCACAAGTGGCAAGAGAGGGTCCCAAGCAGTCTCTGTCTTTTCCCTTTGTCCTTTCTTGGTGATTCAATGAGGGCAGGGTTTCAGACTTTGAAGGGCTAGCGATATAGGTCTAACTGGCAACACATCTGGCTCAAAAATATAAATAAGGTGAATTTTTGGTGCCTGTTTGTTACCCCAGCATGTATAGAGTCCCATAGGACTGATCCATACATACTTTTTTGGAAGTCATTTACTATTTTAGCACTTTTCCTTCCTTTTTCTTTAAGTTGTGGGAGAATCATAAGCTATTATCTCAAGCAAACAGTGACCATTATCTTTTGATTATCTTACATTAGCAGGAGATCAGATAACAAATCTCAGATTCTGGGAACTTCTTATAAAGAGTCTTGCGTCTTGCTTTTAACATTTCAAACATCTTGCTAAGCTTTTGGTTAACAACATACCAGGCCAATTTTTGAATGTTTTCTTTAGTTGACAAAAATACTTCTGCTGCCTACCAAGTTGGCCACCCCAACTTCTTTTCCTGCTTTTAAATATCTCAGGCTAGAAAATTGAGTTTTTTAATAGGTGTTTCACCGTTCTTTTGATAGCCAAATGACATTTTGGCTATCGAAAATGCAGTCTCCCTTTGCAATGTGAAAAGTTGGAGAACTTATCATAACCAAAAGATTCTACCCTTGAACTTTCCCCCCTAACAAATGACACCTAAACATATCTCTTAATCTGTATTCTCTGGATAATTCCTAATTTCTCCATCCCATATCATACAGACCTGTTCTCAAGAGTTTTCCTGTTGATCCTTGGTGAATGTCAGAGATAAGTTACATGAGCAAGCATCTGAGCCACCAGGGAAGCCGCATGAACAACCAGGGAGGGCCTGGAAAGAAGCAGCTGATACAATGTCATGTCTCAATGAGTCATGTAAATATTAAACCCTGGAGAATTTCTCCTTCAAGCATTTTTATCAGTAAGGCAAGGCTTACTGAGTGATATGCAAGTGACTCAGATGAGGTCTGGCACAAAATCAGCTTCTCAATAAATAGTTGAGTGAAAGACCTGTTCCATAAATGCAGAAAGTTGGTCAAAATGTTCTTTTTAAAAGGAATCTTGTCTGGCTGTGAGGTGGGGCCTCCCCAGATGCTTTGGAAGGGCCATGTCTAAACGTACCTCCCTGCCCCCATGAAAATGATTCTGTGCTGTTGGAGTTTGGCACAAAAACTCAGAACTGGATCTGGTTTGAAGTGAGACAGGGTGTGACGACCTTCCGCTAAGAAGAGCCCAGAATGCCATGACCAGAATCGCTGCCTTGGCCTCCTTGCCCTCCTCAAAATGCTCCCCACTTTGCTAGTTGTCTTGTGTGTTCAATAAGTGTGTAATAATACTGGAGTTTGTGACTGATTTTCAGAAGGGAAGAAAACCATTTCTTTTGGCAGCAGAGAGGGGCCACATCGAAATGATAGAAAAACTTATCTTCTTTAATCTGCATACTACAGAAAAGGACAAGGTAAGATGGAATTTCTTTTTCACCAAGGACTAGAGAAAGGGAAGTGACAGTTGAGGTATAGATTTGGCAATGGCACTTTGGTGAGCATTTGAGTTCTTCGCTTGTTACTACAGTCGGAAAGATCATGGGATATCCCAATGAAATCAACCCACTCTTTCTGTGGACTGTCCGAATAACCAATTTTGCTCCATAAATGTCTGAAATTAAAGGACTACATGGAATTTTCTACTGTCAGCTCCAGTTGCTCTGTCCTTCCCCTGAGATCTGCTGGGGACTCCAGCCCCCCTGACCAGGGAAGGAAACACCGAGTTGACATGCATGTCCTTCTGCACGTCTTTGATGCTTTCTTTTTTTTTTAGGAGAAATTCCTAGATGTGAAGGTATGGGTCAGAGAGTTCTACACGTTGTAAACTCTTTCCATATGATATTGCTAAAACTACTTCTCAGAAATCTTGCAACAGTTTGCCTTCCCAAAAGTTATATATAATTACTTGTATTATTCCACTTTTTACTAGCCAATTAGCAGCAAATGTAAAAGAAAAAAAAACAGGATGGTTTGTTCCCTTCTCACTCAAACAGCTATGTATTTTCAATTTAAAACTTAAAAAATATGAATTTCACCTAAAACCATGGAAAACGTGGCCAGCACTCGAGACACAGCTTTATCCAACGTGGCCCCTGCCGGGGAAGCCACTCTGCAGCCTTGCCCGTGGGCGGGCGTGTTCCTGGGAGGCTCTCCTGAGGGGGGTCTCTGTGCAGGAGGGGAGCCTGGCCCTGTACCTCGAAGCAAAGCGTGGGCACAACCCTGTGGTCCAGTGCTGCTCACCCAGTCACCAGAAATAGATGAGGTCAGTGAGGTCTGTGCAGGGGCTCCTTACAGCTGAGCATGGGAAGAGTGAGAAGAACAGCTTTCGAGAAAGGAACAAGAGGCAAACAAAAGTGTTTGCGCCACAGGGTGCGACATGAAGTGAAAGTCGCTCAGTCGTGTCCGACTCTTTGCGACCCCCGTTCTCCAGGCCAGAATACTGGAGTGGGTAGCCTTTGCCTTCTCCAGGGGATCTTCCCAACCCAGGGACTGAACCCAGGTCTCCCGCATTGCAGGCATATTCTTTACCAGCTGAGCCCCAAGGGAAGCCCACGGGGTATAAAAGGTGATGCAGAAAGATTCCTCCCTTTTTCTTTAAAGTAACTCACAGCAGTTCATTTGTTAATCCATTCACTTATTCACCAAAACATATTTAATGTGCACTCTGGATGATGGTCAGAGTATGAGGCAGAGAGCGTCGCTGACTTGATGTACCTGAATCTGAGTAAGCTCTGGGAGACGCTGGAGGACCGAGGCGCCTGGCGGGCCACAGTGCTTGGGGTCCCCAAGAGTCAGACGTGACTTAGTGACTGAAATGATTGAACCCTGCTAGGGAGAGTGTTTTCTTATTCTGGAAGCCTACAGGGCAAGAAGGGCAAACAATAAATATTATATTGGGTTAAATACACTAACAGATGTACATGCAGTGTGCGGTGGGAGCACAAAGGAAAATCTGTTTCAGAAATACCAGACCTCCCAGACGAGGTCATACACCACGTGGGTCTGGGCATTCGCATGAACATGGTACCAGGAGGCCGGAGGCGGACACCAGGGTAGGCTTTGGGACAGAGCCCGGGTAAGGGAGCTGAGGCCTGAAAAGGCGTGGTGAGTGCCTGGAATGGAGCTCCGAGGATGGGGTGGGGTGGAGCAATGAGAGGCCGCGCTTCCCAGGAGCAGAGCTGGCTGCTCTGACCTGCTGGCGCCAGAGACCCGGGAGGGCTTCAGGCAGCACACAGCCGCGGGGTCCATCCTGGGTGGATGCAGCGCACTGACACTGCGCTTTGAAGGGGGGACCGCTGCCTGGAAAGCTGGAGGTGGGGAGGCCCTTCAGGTGACAGGAAGTGCCTGGAGCAAGGGCTGCTAGGAACCTCTCACCCAGGCTCTCAGGGGCAGCAAACAGGATGCGGGCGGAGGAGGAGGTGAGGTCACAGGGTTTGTGAGCAGGGGCTAGGGAGAGGGGAGACTTTCTGCCCCGCCAGCTCTCTGCTTGGACTCCCAGGACGGTGGGGTGCCCACCCCTGAGCTGTGGAGTGTGGAGGGTGAGAGGAGGAGAGGAGCCTGAGCGCCTCAGTCAGGAGGGAGTGGGCGGGTTCTCCCTGAGACACCACGGAGGGGTTTATCAGGTGAGGGGCGGTGGGCAGGGAGAAACCAGGCCTGCAGTTCAGTGCAGAGGCTGTGGCTGTGGAGGCAGACTCGTGAGTCATCTGCTCTGGGAGGTCACTTTTTAACCTCTGGGTCCACGCCTGGGAGCTGGCTGTTTGGAGACCCAGGTGACTGGAGCCCTCTTGGACTTCACGGTAGTGGTGATCAGACTGAACTGGTTTAACTTTATGAAGATCCTAGGAATTTGATCTTCTTGAATAAAAGTTATGGATGATGTGTGAGAAACTCAAGGAGAACTTGAGTCACCTAGCACAAATCTGAGCCCTGATTGGCCTTCACAAATATAGAGATCCAGCCCTGTAGTCATAGGATTTAAAGTCTTAGTCATGCTGGCCCTTTTCTGTTCTAATGCTTTACCACTGGAATCTGTGCTCCTGGATGTAATCCACCTTTTAGCTATTTTTGAGTCAGGACACATTGAAAAAAAGTCTTTAAGTCTAACAAACTGTAATTGTAGACTGTGGTAGATTTCATTTGCACAAAGTGTGTAGTGATACTATTAACCCTTTGGATGAAGCCCATAATGTACATACAGTCTCTGGCTGCCTCTGTTTGCTGACACAGGCTCTTGCCAGAGCACGGAGTGACTCATAGGACTAGGCTTGAGTGTGGTGCTCTCCAAACATTCCGGGTAGCAAACTCATGTCAGGAAAGAAAATGTGAGCATGCACCTTATCACAGGTGCATTTATCATTAAATCAATATGAAGGAGGAAACAGACAAAGTTGGACTCTGTCTTAGGCCAGGCTGCGAACATCAGGCCACAGGCATGGTCACCCTCCCAATGGACTCTGAACTTTGTGCCCGTGTCTATAGAAGTGGCATACTAATGGGAAACCAGACCCCCCAGATAAAAGAGCCACAGGACTTGTACTTGGACTCTCGTGGCCTAAAAGAATATGCTAATTATCTCTGTAACAGAACAAGGTGGTAAATTCCATTATGTTTATCGGGATATGACCACAGGCCTATTGATAAATGTCCACTGTTCATCTAGTCTTATGACACATGAATCATGGGTTAACTTTGATCATATCTCTCTTTTACCTTGTCCAGACTGGTTTCAAGGAATTTGGGGAGGTGGGTTTGAGCAAGTACACTTAGGGTATATAAGGTTTTCAGAAAAACTGGTCAGGGTCCTTGGCTAAGAGGAGACTCTGCCTTGGGCAACTGCACTGCACTATCTGCATTGTCCTTCTGAGTGAGTTTGTTTCCCGAAACGCTTGGCTACAACAAATATATTATAAAACATATGCCAGAAATATAAATTTTAAAGACTGAGATAAAAATAAACAAAAATAGCAATTTTCATATTTTCTCTACACTGAAAGGATTGTCTTATAAACATCTGATATGTTTTCCTTCCAGTTTTCTTTGTGTTTCTATGCATGCATATTTTTAGTGTCTGCCCAAAATGCCTTTAACCCTTTTTTAGCTCCTGGCCATTTAGATTTTGTTCAGTTTTTCTTTATTATGAAAGTAAGTCTGTCAAGAATGACTCAGACTTGCCCGGGAGTGTCCAGGAGTCTCTAGCAGAGGTGTGGGTCGGTGGTGGCCTGCTGCAGGGCTGGGGGCAGTGAGTGTAGCAGTACATGCGTGGGATCTTTTGAAGGAGGTTACCATTATCTTCATTACCTTCACCATAGTTTGGCCCCAGGTAAATAACAGGGAGGGAACACAGCTCCACCAATCTACAAAAAATTGGATTAAAGATTTACTGAGCATGGCTCCGCCCATCAGAACAGTTTCCCCCACAATGTCTCTCCCATCAGGAAGCTTCCATAAGCCTCTTATCCTTCTCCAGCAGAGGGTAGACAGACTGAAACAGACTGAAAGCCACAATCACAGAAAACTAAACAATCTGATCACCTGGACCACAGCCTTGTCTAACTCAATGAAACTAAGAGCCATGCCATATAGGGCCACCCAAGATGGATGGGTCATGGTGGAGAGGTCTGACAGAATGTGGTCCACTGGAGAAGGGAATGGCAAACCACTTCAGTATTCTTGCCTTGAGAACCCCATGAACAGTATGAAAAGGCAAAAAGATAGGACACTGAAAGATGAACTTTCCAGGTTGGTAGGTGCCCAATATGCTACTGGAGATCAGTGAAGAACTAACTCCAGAAAGAATGAAGGAATGGAGCCAAAGCAAAAATAACACCCAATTGTGGATGTGACTGGTGATGGAAGCAAAATACGATGCTGCAAAGAGCAATATTGCATAGGAACCTGGAATGTTAGGTCCATGAATCAAGGCAAATTGGCAGTGGTCAAACAGGAAATGCCAAGAGTGAATATCGACATTTTAGGAATCAGTGAACAAAATGCACTGAAATGAGTGAATTTAACTCAGATGACCATTATCTGTCCACAGTAGTAGATATACTTCTTCCCTTAGAAGAAATGGAGTAGCCATCATAGTCAACAAAAGAGTCTGAAATACAGTAATTAAATGCAATCTCAAAAACCACAGAATGATCTCTGTTCCTTTCCAAGGCAAACCATTCAACATCACGGTAATCCAAGTCTATGCCCTGACCAGTAATGCTGAAGAAGCTGAATGGTTCTATGAAGACCTACAAGACCTTCCAGAACTAACACCCAAAAATGATGTCCTTTTCATTATAGAGGACTGGAATGCAAAAGTAGGAAGTCAAGAAACACCTGGAGTAACAGGCAAATTTGGCCTTGGAGTACAGAATGAAGCGGGGCAAAGGCTAATAGAGTTTTGCCAAGAGAAAGCACTGGTCATAGCAAACACCCTCTTCCAACAACACAAGAGAAGACTCTACACATGGACATCACTAGATGGTTAATACCAATCTTTGCAGCCAAAGACGGAGAAGCTCTATACAGTCAGCAAAAACAAGACCGGGAGCTGACTGTGGCTCAGATCATGAACTCTTTATTGCCAAATTTAGACTGAAATTGAAGAGAGTAGGGAAAACCACTAGACCATTCAGGTATGACCTAAATCAAATCCCTTAGGAATATACAGTGGAAATGAGAAATAGATTCAAGGGATTAGATCTGATAGACAGAGAGCCTGAAGAACTATGGATGGAAGTTCATGACATTGTACAGGAGATAGGGATTAAGACCACCCCCAAGGAAAAGAAATGCAGAAAAGGAAAATGGTTGTCTGAGGAGGCCTTACAAATAGCTGTGAAAAGAAGAGAAGCAAAAAGGAAAGGAGAAAAGGAAAGATTTTCCCATTTGAATGCAGAGTTCCAAAGAATAGCAAGGAGAGATAAGAAAGCTTTCCTAAGTGATCAGTGCAAAGAAATAGAGGAAAACAATAGAATGGGAAAGACTAGAGATCTCTTCAAGAAAATTAGAGATACCAAGGGAACATTTCATGCAAAGATGGGCTCAAGAAAGGACAGAAACAGTATGGACCTAACAGAAGCAGAAGAGATTAAGAAGAGGTGGCAAGAATACACAGAAGAACTATACAAAAAATATCTTCATGACCCAGGTAGTCATGATGGTATGATCACTCACCTAGAGCCAGACATCCTGGAATGCAAAGTCAAGTGGGCTTTAGGAAGCATCATTATGAACAAAGCTAATGGAGGTGATGGAATTCCAGTTGAGCTATTTCAAATCCTGAAAGATGATGCTGTGAAACTGCCACACCCAATATGCAAGCAAATTTGGAAAACTCAGCAGTGGCCACAAGACTGGAAAAGGTCAGTTTTCCTTCCAATCCCAAAGAAAGGCAATACCAAAGAATGCTCAAACTACCACTCAACTGCACTCATCTCACATGCTAGTAAAGCAATGCTAAAAATTCTCCAAGTCAGGCTTCAACAGTATGTGAACTGTGAACTTTCAGATGTTCAAGCTGGATTTAGAAAAGGCAGAGGAACCAGAGATTAAACTGCCAACATCCGTTGCATTATCAAAAAAGCAAGAGAGTTCCAGAAAAACATCTACTGCTTTATTGACTATGCCAAAGTCTTTGACTATGTGGATCACAACAAACTGTGGAAAATTCTGAAAGAGATGGGAATACCGGACCACCTGACCTGCCTCCTGAGAAATCTGTATGCAGGTCAGGAAGCAACAGTGAGAACTGGGCATGGAACAACAGACTGTTTCCAAGTAGGAAAAGGAGTATGTCAAGGCTGTATATTGTCACCCTGCTTATTTAACTTATATGCAGAGTACATCATGAGAAACACTGGGCTGGAGGAAGCACAAGCTGGAATCAAGATTGCCGGGAGAAATATCAATAACCTCAGATATGCAGATGACACCACCCTTATGGCAGAGAGTGAAGAGGAACTAAAAAGCCTCTTGATGAAAGTGAAAGAGGAGAGTGAAAAAGTTGGCTTAAAACTCAACGTTCAGAAAACAAAGATCATGGCATCTGGTCCCATCACTTCATGGCAAATAGATGGGGCAATAGTGGAAACAGTGACAGACTTTATTTTTGGGGGCTGCAAAACCACTGCAGATGGTGACTGCAGCCATGAAATTAAAAGATGATTACTCCTTGGAAGAAAAGTTATGACCAACTAGACAGCATATTAAAAAGCAGAGACATTGTTTTGCCAACAAAAGTCCATCTAGTCAAGGCTATGATTTTTCCAGTAGTCATGTATGGATGTGAGAGTTGGAGTATAAGAAAGCTGAGTGTGGAAGAATTGATCCTTTTGAACTGTGGTGTTGGGGGAGACTCTTGAGAGTCCCTTGGATGGCAAGGATATCCAACCAGTCCATCCAAAAGGAAATGCATCCTGAATAT